TCGAAATTCCTCCGTGAGCGCTTGTATGACACTCGCATTGCGGATATTGTGTTCGCTTCGCCCAAAAACTCCCACTGTATTGAATATGGTACTTGCATATGCTTTAGCTACTCAGTTGAATATCAGAGCTATTTCAGTGGCTAGAACTCAAACTACTAAATCTAACACAATAAGATCCATTAAGGACGCGAAAGATTTTGATCAGCGTGTTGTACAAGCGCTCACGGTGGAACTTCGACGAGATTTGCATCTTTAGATTTTGGGCAAAATCCATGAGGACGTGTTTTCATAGGCTCGTAACTCGGTGATTTTTACAGACTGGAGCCTGATTCATGCACCATTCGGTAGCGCAGTTCCTAGTAACTTTGACTGAGAAAAGCAAGCAGGCAAGGTTGCTGACAGATACGCGAGAAGTGCGGGCCAATTTACGCACTTTCGTGATGCAGTTACAGTCACCTCACCGTATCTCACCAAAAAGACCCTGTAATCCTCAAGGACCACGATTTTCGTAAAGAGCGTGTTCGAAAACCTCTATAAGCGAAGTTTCCTTACAATTTAAGAGCATGAACATTTTGACCAAAATCCATCGGCCAGCTTCAGAGCGTAAAACGAGAAAAAATGAAATTACTTGAACATCTTGGAAAACATGCTCATAAAAGTTATCCGACCTGCTGGTTACGAAAATCACATCTGCTTAGCAAGAGAGCTTCATATTTTAGAGTTACGTTGAGAAAAATTTAGAAGGACATGATTTTTCCAGAATTCACCAGCCCTTCTAACTCCTTTGAAAAGGAGTACGCGGCTACTTTCCAGCGCTCCATAATCTACAAAAGAAGTACTACCGAAAATTTCTTTCTGAATGTACTGGGGGCAATACGCGCTGCTTCACACCTTTGCGAAGAAACGTCCGCAGAAAGTTTTGAGAATACTGAAATCGAGATATCAAGGACATTCCGCATACCGAAAGATTTGCCTTGATGAGCTGAGCACAATGCATTTTTCGGATTTAGAAAATATCCACTCCAAAGAAAGTTACGGCGAGTAGAATCTGGAAACGAGTGATTTTTCCAGAATTTACCAACGCTTTTTTCTCTTTTGAAAAGAAGCCTGTGGCAGCTTACTAGCGCACTATAATGCACAAGAAGAGCACTATCGAATGGTGCATACTGGAAGCTTTCAAATTGGATAGGCGCTGCGTTACATACTTGCAAAGGGACCTCCTCAGAACAATTTGAGAAAATTGAAAACAAGATATAGATGACATGACGTATGTAGAAAGATTCGCCTTGACGAGATGAACACAGTGCTGCTTTCGAATTTAGAATATATTAATTCCGAAGGAAGTTATGGCGCTGCATAATTTACGATTATCCGGAATCGCGAAATTTCTGGAATTTCGCGCAATTCCCGTTCTGTGAGTGGTATTGTACATTGCACAGCACGCGCGGCATTCCGCGATATGTGCTTCTCATGCGATTTCCAACCATTTCCCTTTTTCTTCCTGCATTTTGGGACCCGTCATACTTCGCCGAGAGAAGCCCACTTTCACACATATCCATGCAGAATGAGCTGCCCAGTTTCACATATATCCATACAGAATGAGCTCTTAAACTATACCTGCCCTATTTCTGCTGTGCTCAATAGAATGTGTACGTAGCCTCTGGAATAAGCACACTGAATGGTCCATTTACACTAAAATTCCAGGAAAGAAACTTATATCCCACAACTAGGCACATCCGTATATTGGAAGATGCGCCTCGCCGAGCTGAGTTGAATGGTACTCTTATATATAGAATTCATAAATTTTGAATCAAGATAAGGTCTTTTTTTATAAAAAGTTAGGCGTTGCGCGACAAAGTTAGGTGACTTTTGCCGCTTTTCCGCCGACTTTTGTCGCGCGACGCGGCAAAAGTCACCTAACTTCGGCGGCGCCGCGTAAGTTAAGTGCCGCCGCCATTTTTTTTCGCAAATTACGGGTGGTATTGTATTAGCTTTATTGCTCGAGCTGATGCTAAAAAAACGGTTTTCTCTCTTCTTAGTTTTACGCTGGACCAGACTAAACAAAACTTCGAAATCTCCTCCTTGTTGCTTAGTGGCTGGCATAGAAAAATGGAATGTTAACCTACCCATATATCTAGTAAATCTTCTGACTTCAAAGTTTGAATTTCGCTCACTACAGTTCCTTTCATAGTTAATTTTCTTGCGAGTGAGTTCACAAGAAACATTGTTAAGATAAGCATTGTCGCTAATCATGATCCAAAATATCGTTTGGTTGAAATCTCTCGAAGATAGGAGCTAGCAAGGCAACCTTGTTTAGGTCGAAACGGCTTTTCTAAGTTGGATGTATAGAGTGCCCAGCATTTAGCAACCTAGCATTTCCCTAGCTATGAAACGAGATGGACGAACAAAACTTGGCATGCAGTCTCTGAAAAACCTACAAAACAACAATGCACCTTCAAATTTCGGAATACCCTCCTTTGGCTTTCACACAGTCCCTCAGAGTCTTGCGGAACGATGCACTGTGGCAGAGAGTGTTTGGAGTTGAAGTTCTCATATTTTTTGAAGCACAGACTGTCCAATTTAGTGCGAAAGCGAGCAAGCCTTGCTTTCCACAACTGATCTCAAAGAAAAGCCAAGCGTTTTTGGTCCGGCCATTGAAGGCACGCCAAATTCGAAGTAATCCTGTGAGTTTGAGCAAAAGTGTCAAAATGTAGCAATCAAGTTTTTGAAAACATCAGGGAAAACATCATAGTGGTCTAGCGGAGTGATTTCAAAATAATATTCCAGTAAAAAATAAAAGGGCCACACTTAGAATTAGTGGGGAGATGGGAGACGGTCAAGCGGCGCGATTTCTCTGGCTGTCACCAACCTAAAATCCCAGTTTGGTTCTATGCGAGTCTTCAAAAAGTACCAGATAAGGTGCATTAGCCTATTATCTGTCTGAGGTTACCATTTGCTGAATTTGATGGCTTTTGCTGGAAAACTGACCGAAACATTTACGAATTTGTTCTTAACTGCATTTTCATAAGTTTTGATTTTCAAAATTGATGTCTTGAATCTATTCCGAGGTATTACGATTGAACAACCCATGCAACTATTTGATATATCTCCTTCTAAGATCTGAATAAATTTAGAAAATTATAGAACACTTATCATGTGCTATTTGGTATCCATCTGGCAATAAAAATCACGACTTTTGACATACACTCAAATTAGTGAAACAGCCTGACTAAGTGTTGGTGTTCTCCGGTTCTTCGAGTCAGTTTCCGAACATGTTTTCTTCAGTGGCAGGGCACTACATCAGAGATTTGTAGCTAAACCCTACAGGAATGAACTGATGCTTGGTTTTGTACAGTGTTGTGGAGCTAAGCTAGCTTTATAATCTACAATTTAGAGCTTCGCAAAAGATATAAACACAAAAGAGCTATATAGTTTGAACATTGGGAAACGAAGAATACGCATCCAATTTTTGACTGGAAACCGATGAGAACTATCAAGTCAATAAGTTGGAAAATTACGAGGCTCAAAAACTTTTGGAGCACCCCATACACCACATTGAAGAGCTTAAAAATGCTGATTCCAAATCTGCCTTCCTCTGCGAAACATTCAACGACAAGATTTGAGAGTTCATTGATATAAAAAGGAAAAGTGCAAAAACATGAGTTGATAAAGCTCCCTAACCCTTGGAAAGCAACCAGATGTGATATAGATTTTTTTCTAAAATGTTTATTGAATATAATGCTTTGATAATCATCACTGCTCCGTTAAATCTCTAGAACAAAATATCATATTACGGCAATTTTTGTCCTATTGCACATGTAATTTTTTGCTTTAATGAAAAGCTCATAACTCCTCGTCCATAAACGTTCCACAGATAAGGAAGACAGATTTGTGATCAGCATCTCATGCTCTCCATTTGATTTACATCCCGTCTAAAAGGACACTTTAACTAAACATGGTTTCCTTGTAAGATAACTTAAGCTGGGGGTATTTCCGTGATAAAAATCAGCTGCTTCTGCACTACATACTCTGCACAGATGAAGGAGAGATGAGAGTTGATAGCATTCTCAGCGGATGCTTCAAAATTAGCGAACTTAATGGCAAGAAAAGTGGTGCTCAACTTTGCGGAAATCAGATTGTTCAGTTCGATTTATCGAGCTTATGACATGTATCAGCTTCTGTAATAAGTCTTCTACTTTATCCAAGATATATGGCGAATCAACGAAATGACACTCAAATTTGCTTTTTGACTTCTATTCGAAAGTCAACAAAGCTGTTGCTTTTCAAAAAATCAAGCAATAATCAACTGCTACTTTGCAAGAATAGCGTGACATTGCACACTCCAAAGTATCGAGGTTCAGTTTCCCTTACCATACGTTATGAGAGGAAGGTAACCTTCGATAGCTAATCTAATATAAAGCAAGACAGAATGGCAGATGTTTAGGATAAACTAAGGCCCATCTTTATCAATGAAATACGAACTGGTAAAATTGAAAGTCGGAAACTTAAACTTCGGTTCATAAGCAAAAAACATGTGAACCGTTTGCCTCAGCAGCCAGTAACGACTCAGACAATCAATGGGAACTTCCCGAGGTCCGTGAGGGAACTTTCCTCGGGTCACCTGCGGAAGTTCCCGTGAAGCGCTCGGGAAGTTTGCAAAAAAGCCCTCGGGAAATTCGCAAGAAGTGGGAAATCTCCCGAGAACTTATCTACAGAACTTCCTGAGGGCTTCACATTGGCTCCGCGTAGCTGTACCGAACCTTCATGATGAATCCTGCTACTTCATAAAGCCGCACCCTTAGTACAGCTACTCAAAGTAGTGTAGTAGTAAGGGTGGAGCACTAGTAGTAGTTATACGCAAAAACAGATATGCTCCATCATTTATTGTTATAGCAGTAGATATAACATATCGACGGAGGGAATGGGAGAATTTCTTCAAGTTCTTAAAAGATCGAATTACAGTAGCCCGGATAATGCGTAAGGAGTATCATAGTGATAGTGAGATATGAAGTAAGCATGTAGTGAATATAGAGGTAAGCGGGGAGTAAGTAAATGAAGCACTGATTAATGAGAAACATGCTTAACTAATGAGGCAAAGGCACGATGTTACATGAGAAGACTTATGATGGATCAGAAATTAAACATCAGGTTCAAACAGGACAGCGACGGGATCAAATTCCACTACTGTGTAGCGCTTTCCTCTTCCATTCTGACTTCGTCATACTTGCCTTGTCCTCTCTACCAAATCCGACCTGCGTAGCCTTGTATTTCTGGAAAACAAATTTTTAGTATAAAAACAACTGAGACTAAGTTTGAACCTTTGAAGGCACAAGTTTTCCCTTGTCGAGGCGATAATAACGGACATCCTCGCTGTAAAACTGAATTTAGAAGCAGAAGACGATTCTGGAAAACTTACAGTGCTTCTGCGATACAGGTCCTGATTTGGCCGCAGTAGAAAGTTTTTTGCTCCAGCAGATAGTTGAACTTTTTCTCGCGTTCTTCATCGGATGTACCCAGAGAGATCCAGTAACTAAATCATTTGAGTAGGTAAAGACTGCTTACGAAACACCAACGCACCTAGTGCGCAAGCTTCTTATCGAATTCAATCTGTATCCCTCCAAATCCTCGTTGCCGAGGCTAAGCGCATCCAATACGAAATCTAAAGAATGATTTGAATGAGAATTTCTTACATGACTAGTTTCGTACCGTTGAGTGTGATAACTATGGACTCAGGCAGATCTTGTAAATCCGGCTTGCGCGATACATTAGATGTACGATGAGCAAAATTCCATATATCTGAGGGATCTGGTCCACAAACCTACAAATCTCGCTGTAGTCCACTCATATTTACTTAACTAGATTTTTTTATTATACTTACATGTTCATTGGTTATGAAAGTTATGAACATGAATGGCCAACCTGTCTGAAGATCACACGTAAAAAGTCATTGATGACGAGCGAAGTCTTGTGTTTGACTCTACTCGGAGCTGTGTAGCCGGCGAGAAGCTCGTTGAGGTTTAGTTCCTATGATAAGCATAATTGGCTTTGGTTAATTTTTGATCCTAACTACCTTGAATGGTGAACTACGCTTGATTATGTGCTGTTTCTTGAGATTATCAGGGCTGAAGCTTATGGTGGAAGAGGACTCGCTGATTCCGCTAGTAAGCTTGTTGCAGATCTGTCGCAGTACATGGATTTGAGACTCGAGATCTCTGTTCTTTGTTAGCAGAAGATTAACCTGTAGCGAGCAATGCTGATTCAAATGCTTAAGCGTGACGAATCCTACTTTCCCCCTTAACCGATACATAAAAGTCGTCACAGCTGCACTCACCAGCACGCGGTTGGATATCGCGTTTTCTACCAAGAGCCGCGTTGTTTCGATGTTATCAAATAAAGAAATACCATGCCTAGAGCGCTCGGCGCTCTGCACCAATCTAGACAGATTCCACCAAACCAATCGTGCAAAAATACACTTATCACAGCTTTAGTTTCAACCATACAAAAGCGCTGTTTCTGCTGTTAGCAGGCAGCGTTTCCATCGTCAGTTGTTATCGACGTTCTGTTGCTACTGTTGTTAACCACTACTGCTGCTGTTATTTGCTACCCCTGCTACTGCTGTTAGATGATGGAACGAACAATCAAGTCTCATTTCTCCATACAAGTTTTCAATGATTAGGTAACAGCAGCAACATCAGTAACAAGAATACAGCGGTAACATCAGCAACAGCGGCAACAATTGATGGTGACTACGAAGTAGTGCATGGCAAGAATCCAAATAGACACAAAGAAGAGATTTCAATCCATAAAATAAACAAAAAATGTGAGTGAAATACGAAATGTCTTAGTAGGTTGCATGAAGCGGAATGTGGGTGAAGAGAATAGAGGGTGAAAGAGAAAGTGGAAAGATGGGAGGTGAATAAAAGATCCTCGAACAACTTCATTACTCTTGCTTAAAGATTATTGTATATTCTCATTAGTGATCTCTAATGTGCACAGCTTCGGAAAGAAAGCAAGAGAGCAGTGCTAAATCAGAGAGGAAAACAGGAAACTTTAAGAAAAGAAAGAAAGAAAAGCAGTGCTAAATCAAAAAAGAGAAAGAAACATTATCATAGAAGTGAGTTGAAGCATAACTAGTGTCAAATAAAGCGCAATCACGCTCACCTGAAAGTCGACTTGTGCCCTCAAAGTAGAAGCCTTGAACTATTTGTTCGTCGCGACTATATTCGGCTGATGCCCTTGCTCTGAAAAAATTCACGTTAGAAAAGAGGAAAGAAGAGATCTAATATGCAAAGAATCGTAAGCGCAGTTTGAAAATCATCAAATCGCGAGAAACCGCGGTGCGGTCCCGAAGCGCACGCACATATAGCACCTTCACATAACTGCTTCACTAGTAGGAGGAGAAAAGATCGAAATTACAACCACTCAGCTAGGAACCAGAATCTAAATACTACCTAAGATAACACTCCAATTTGAATTGCTAAACTTTCACCATCTATAACAGATTGACAGACTAGCAGTATAGTGAAATAGCGCAAGTGCACTGTTACGAAATACAGAAAAGAAAGCAAGGAGAATCAGACGCTGAAAAAGACTTGCCTAAATTCATATTTTCCTTTTTATATATAAAACAGCACAAAGTCACATTTAGAAGAATTTCGAAACACGTAAAATTTATGAGTAAATGTAAAGTCAAAAGGAGTCATTTCCTTATTACATGGTGCATCATAACAGCCGCACTCGCAAAGAGCTGTACAATAGATGGTCGCACATATATTAAGGTAATTCAATAGCCGGATCATCTATTTGCTTGTTTTGGCTCTGGGTCATAGCTTCACACCTCGCACTGCGACAGAGGACGGTAATTATGATGTGCGAAGTAACAAGCAAGAGGTCACTTCACCCTTAACGACAAGTGATGCAAATACATTTGAATAATGCCACATGGAAAGAAAAGAATTCAGTCAATTTACAGAATAAAACGAGAGGACGATGGAAAAGAAACACTAGAAGTCCGCACTTGCGCTAAATCAGATATCGCACTGACCATTACATAAGTTTGATGAAGACTCTGTGACTTTTTACGACAATTCAGTCATTAGAATGAAAGTAGCGCTATTACGAAATACCGCGAAGCTCTCGGAAAATTCCCTTTTCTTAAAAGCTTTTGGAAAGTTTCGCATTTATAGATACTTCCCGAAGAAATCCTCGGGAAGTTCCTAACTGCGTTGCTCCTGACGTCAAAGTTTTCGGGAAACTCCCATTTTTGCGCTTCCATTCACCTCTGTGTTAAACGAGTTCTTCGGGAAGTTTGCCAAAATTGGCTTGTTTTCGGGAAGCTCCCGTGAATTGTCTGAGGAATGAACAAATATGTTCTCGGACGCAAAACAGTGAAAACATCTAGAATTCAACATTTCAGATTGATCTTCCTTCTCTTTAAGATATATAACATAGGCCGGTGCATCTCTGAATTGTTCGTTTACAGTTTTGAATTATGTTGCCGCCACTAGCGTGCATTGAGAAAGGTGTGTTGTCAGTTTAAGAACATAGTCTCAATCAAATCATTTGTCTTTGCTCTTCATGTCAGATTTGCACTGCTGAAACCATAGATCGGCACTGTTAAGTGGGCCACAAATTCTCAGTTGCTAGAGGTATTTACTTCATCTCAAGCTCAAAGTTCCCTTTTACACTCATCAGTAAAACGCTACAACGTTCAATCAAAAGCACTTTCTTTTTCTAGCAAGTTCTGAGTAGATGCTCACCAGGAAGCAGCATTTCTTAATCTTTTTTTTGTGAATGTAGAGAGTTGCAGCGTCATTTTCAATTCTGCTTGACTTTCGTATTTTCTTTTTATTATCAAGTTCTGGTTTTATAGTAGGGGTATAGGCTCACCAAATAAATGTTATCCTGGTACGCCAGCTGTAGCTAGACAGTTTATTCTATTTTGCGATGCCTTTATTCGTCACTATTCATTGAAAAAATACAATACTGATGTCCTATAGACCAGTCAGGTCATAAGCATATTTTTAGTTTTTCTTAAGTAGTACTCATATTATAATCAACGGAATTAAGACTATGAGTTTGATTGCTATGGTTTGACACTAACTTGTACACCCACTTATGAACCCATATTGGATTTTTATATAGCAGCTTACAGCACGCATTATCGTAAAAGTTATGGCAATTAAAGGCAATATGTTCACTTAGTAAACTAACAAGGGAAGGATATATAGTCGAAGTGGCTTTTTCATATAAAACGGATACTTATAGGCATTGAACGCCGATTCCAAATCTGCTTTTGGTAGCTGCAAAGCGCTTCTGTGACGAAATAAATTCAAGGGTTTGGCTAAGATGAAAAGTTGAGATCTTTTAGGCACTTGTAAGGAATAATGATTAGCATGAGTGTTAGACTGTAAATCTCAATTGCATAAAGCGTCCTGGCAGCAATCATGGTCCCATTTGAGCTCATAGACTACAGTTTCGAATGCCCATTTCAGATTTTTGCTCCAAAAAATCCCCATCCCCTCCCAGAAGCGTCTTTTAGGAACAGCGTTTAATGCTCTATGAGAAGGTATATATTTCATTTTGGAACGCCACTTCGACCAAATATCCTTTCCTTGTAAGGAAGTCTTATATCATAGTTGATTCCGTTCGCAAAATATCTATCATCAAAACTACGGTAAAATTTACTACTATTATTAATAATTCTGAGAAGTAATTATTTCGAGACCCCTACATACATAATCTGCCTTGATTTTTGAGGCGTACAGCCAGCCTGTCAAGCAGAGTGGTTCAACTCAATGATCTTGCTTATTATAAGCAGTCAGTTCAAAGAACAAGATCACTTTGTAGGTGAATATAATACGAATCTTAAATTCTCTATTTTAGGAGTTGCTTAAATAAAGGAGATGGCAAATTTTGTTAGACAAGTTTGTCTGCAGTGGAATAATTGGCTAACATTTTTGAGAAAACCTCTATCTTATATATAAAGCTGAATGTCTGTTTGTCTGTCTGTATGTCTGTCTGTATGTCTGTATGCACGTATGTTCCGAATAGAAAATTCCATTTCTGAACCGATCCGGACCAAACTTGGCACACATACACTTCGGGCCCCGGCGGGTGTCATAGGCTACTTTTCGTCATCGATCGACATCGATTTTATCGATTTTTATCGATTTTTTTGCTGAGTTCACCTATGGGGCTGGGAGTTGGCACAGGGGGGTAATCGAGCATGGGGATTACGAATACAATATTAGTTTTTAACATCATCCACTACTTTTATGGATTTTATCGATTTTTCAAAAAAGTTTGAGCTACGGGGCTGGGAGTTTGCACAGGGGGGTAATCGAGCATGGGAATACGAATACAATATTGGTTTTCAACAGCATCCATTACTTTTATCGATTTTATCGATTTTTTGCAAAGTTTAACCTAGAGGGCTGGGAGTTCGCACAGGGGGTAGGTGAGCATGCTGAGAAAACGAGGATAAGGAATTTGCATGGAGAAGTGGCACAGGGAAGGATTCTGCACGGATAAGGATGGAACCTTTATCATAGTTTCACTGAACCGGGCGGAGCCGGGTAAGCAAGCTAGTAGAATAATACAAATATCCATTACTAAGCAGTATAAGCGATTGAAAATCTAGTAATGATTTTAGGATTAGTTTTGAGGTAACATACGAATGCTACTTATTCTCGGGGTCACCTCAAGCAAGTGACACATATCGATTTGCAGATAAGGTTTATGACAAGATAATAATAACGGAAAACTTGGGAAAAATAATAGTAAAGCATACTGAAGCCCAACTGTTTGACTACCAGAACATAAGCATACGTTTATTTCCAATCTATAGGAGGACATACAAAAAGCCGTACAAAATGTTTCATACATAAGAAGCCAAAAAGTCATGGAAATTCAATCCGTGAACTTCTTGCCACAAAATATTTCCTTAAGTACCCTATTTTCAGGTGTATAAGCCGCACCCTTTTTGCTCTAAACGACCCAGACGTACCGCCGCGCGTATGTCTCGCGAAGTGGTCGCCTTATCGCATACTGCTTTCACTTAACGCGCTCCATGATGACAGTCAGTCTTTTGGGGTTTCGCCTTTAGAGCGAAAAGGGTGCGGCTTATACACCTGAAAATAGGATAATCATGCTTCTCGCTATCGATCCTGCAGATCCTTCATCCTATATGTTTAAGTGAAGCTCTCATAAAAATACAATCTAATCTTGAAATTTTATTTGGGATTTGAGTCATGTACGTACCTCTATAACCAGACTAGCTGAAAAACAGCACAAAAATGTATGCTTAATGCTGGCTTTCCTGACTCAACTTATTCAAAGTCTTGGATATGCTGAGAGCCAAAAGCAAAAAATCTTCCCTTCAATACATTTCTCCCCTGCAGTCATGTTTGTACAGGGTGGGACAAAAGTCTGACAAGGGAA